TGCTAATTCATATCAGTAAAACTCCGTACTGATTTGTTAAGGCTAAAAGAAACAGCTAACTGCTTAGACTACTCTAGGCCTAGCAACTGTATGTATTCTTTATGTCATGATCAATGCTGACTAAGCATTAAGAACCTCTAAAGACCACTAAATATCAATCCGTTGTAAGGGGTGCCCCGGTGGATGAGGCCCTTAGGACATTCACTGTTTTAGAGGCTTAATTGATGTAATTACACCGATCTTTATATGTGCTACCTGCAGAGAAAAAAAATTGAAATTGAAAGAAGTTCATACAGTAGCTACTGTAATTACTATTCTTCTTAAATGACCTTCAGTTGAAATAACAAGAAACATCTAATTATTTGTGATTTTTGTTTTCTCATTGAAAAATACACTTTTTTTTTTAAAGAACACTAAAGCTGAAATTGCTCAAAAATAAGAACAAATTGAAGCTGACATAAAATGTCAAATAAGGTTTTTGTTTAAAAAAAAAAATGGAAATACCAACAAATCAAGCTAGACACATAGTATATACTGTAAAATTATTTTGGTCTTACATTATCTGTACCTTACGTGCAATAGGGGTAACTGTAGTATAATACATATAGTTCAGTAGTGTACTGCTGTACAATATTCTGTCTTTAAAAAGTGTGTAAAAATAAGAACATTTTGAGCCTGAAATTGGAAAAAAAGTAAGAACACTAAACCTGGACTAAAAGTTTGTGGGTACTACTCAATTTCACTCAAAAGTTCATCAAGTCTGATCCATTTAATAACATTAATTATTATTATTAATAACTATCTTCTATTTGCAAGCATCGCACAACCATATCACATTATTTATAACATGCAATTTACTAATGTGCTATAAAAATAACCATAGTATTGTAGATCTACTATAAGCAACAGCAATATAAATTTAGCAACATGTATTATTAAAATTATTACTACTGTACTACTAGTATTAACTCTTTGTCTATCCACAGATGGTCAAATACTGTGTAAATATAAGAGTGTTTAAAGACAGTGGCGGCACAAGGGATTTCCCTATGAGAGGTCCAAGGTTATCCCACGGGGGAAGGGGGCTCATCTTACCTACTGTACTTCGGCCCAACCATGGTTTGGCTGAGTATATTGTACAGAAATACACAAGATGATGTTTGAACACACCCTTGTATGCTTTAACAATTAGTACACTAATACCATTGAAAATGTAATAATGTCATGAACACTTCAATTCATTCTTTTGTGTAATTTGTGGGAAATTTTTATAAGAATATCAAAATTCAAGAGGTCTGTGTGTTGTTTCTGGATAAAACAAAGTGGAAAGAATTCAGCACTTTGGCAGCTCTGTTACTGAACACTGAAGTCGTGTTATTTTCCCTTTTAATACTTTAGGATCAAAACTGTACAGTATGCCCTAGTTTATAGACAACTGAGGATAATTCCCTTTAGCATACCTGTATCTGTAACACTGTGGGAAACAAAATGCTAATACATTGCCTTAGAAAGAAAGTAGAAATAAATTACTTATTGATTAAGCAATGTTCTCAGATCATGAATTAAACCATTGTTGAAGCAATTACAGGCAAATTTGACATCTGGGTACTTTTTAGTGTTCCTTGATTTGCAACCTATACCGTACTTCCTTTCTAGCTAGCCAGTACAACTCAATGTAGACTGCTTACACTTTCAAACATATACACTCTTTAAGGAATTTATAGTTTCTCACGGTCAGGTTTTCCCGTCATTAGCGATTAATGGGAAGTTCTTCGTTTTTTTAATTCTATAATTTAGTGGTAGTGATGATCAACGTCATTCTTGTCTGGTTTAGATTTATTAATTTGCATTTTTACATGCTCAGGTTTTCCCAACATTGACGATTAGGAAGCTCTTCAGATTTGTTTTATTGTATATGTAGTGATAGCGATAATCAATGTCATTTGTTTGTACCTTGTTTATTAATTTCCATTTTTGCATGATACAACAATGACAACATTTTCAATTAACATGCTGCATTGCAGCACTTACATATTAACATTTGTTGTCTCACTGCCGCAGCTAACGTCATCAAATTTACAGTATAATTTATGCATAGTTGTCGTCAAATCATATTATTATTGTCTTCAATATCATCATCGTCAATAGTACCGTCCTTATCACACAACAGATATAATAATAATAATGATAATAATAATAATAATAATTATAGTTATAATTAACAATGGTGGTCCAATTAATAGAGTGGTTAATACAAAACAATGCTTCTAACTGCTTTACACAAAATGAACACGAGAAATGGAATGAAACCATAAAATATTCTAACGAGTAACCAAAAATGAAGAATAAACGCAGAGAAACCATTTTCACCGCCATTTTCACACCATATTGAGGTAATAAAACTCAAGAATAATACTGTAAACTTACAAACTTTATTTGCTTATTTTTTACTGTATTTAAGGAAGTAAACTTGTATAATTAGAACAAGTAAATATTTTCTTCACCAATTAACAGTTAGCCTGTCATTGTTCCTAGTATTTAAATCGTAAATTGACTATGAGAATCTAATACTATTGTATACAATACAAGTGCACAAACAAAAATATAATCCTCTCCCTAGGTCTTTTTTGCTACAAGCTTTGATAGCTGTTAGCATTTGTAACTTTGTGTGTGTTTTATACATTAGAAAAGTATTTTATTTACTGTGTTAAGAGTACTACAGAGATATTACTCCATTAGAGTACAATACCGCCGGGATAGTAGTACATTAGTTAAGGATAAAGTGTATTTACTGAGCTCCTAGTCAAACTGTACTCACCTCTACATGGCACCATGTTACTAATCCATCCTCACCCTGGCAACAGCTGAAGAAATGTTCCCCTTCAAAATGCTGGTGTACGTACTTATACACAATCATACTACTCTTGTTTTTTAATAGATCGGTCATAAAAGTGGGAACCCTTGTAAATTTAATTAAAATCATTGTAATAGCAGCTGTTCGATTAGAAGTTTCATTAACTCGGATTGGAAATAAACGTATTCATCTATTTTACTTATTTATCTAATATTTTTTCAATTTCTTTATTTCTCTTATTTTAAGAAAGTGTAGGTTCTTGAGCATCAGCCTAAGGATACTCCCTATTATTTTATTGTACCTCATACACTATTTATATATTCATCAATAAATTTTTATTTTATTTCTTCTCCTAGATGCGTTTTGCAGACCCATTTCACAAAATTTATAAAACAAAACATTGGTTTTTTGGGGGTTTTTTTCAACTCTTGATGGTATTTCAAAAACAAAGTTTGGCGAACAAGCATTAACAAATGTTTTGCCTGAAGTGATTTGTGGCAATTTCTCCAGACTGAAATTAAATGTTGCTACAGATAGATGAGTGTGCTTTGTCTTACCATGAGTCTGTCATATAACCTACATTCAGTTTAGGCCTAAGGGTAGAAAGAACAGACATTCTTCTAATGTGCTAGAAAAAGTTAAGTTGACACATAAAGTTTAAAATTGAACCTAGTTGAGCTACCTAGCTCATTACTTCATTGTTCTAAAGCACTGGCCTACTAGTGAGGAATTGGAATGCATAGCTTTTCAGAACTCAGAATATATCCAAAATCTAAAGCCTTGTACGCATACATTTTGATGAGGATTCTTGATTCAGATTTCATCAGCACTGCTACCAAGTATTATACTTAATTGTCATAGTGCGGACAACTATTATACAGGTTTACTGTTACCTAAAGTGCTGATGCAGAAATTTGGAGCTTAACAGTTGTTAGTCTAAGCTCATCTCTCTGATTGTACATCAGGTTTGTTGTGGCCAGTGGCTTACAACTCCGTTCAGTTCGTGCTCAATTGACCAAAGTGGGTAGTTGCGCAGCTGATAAATCGCGGTCCCTGATTACTTTAGGCTTGGATTAGAGGCATGCTAGTTACAGCACAGCAGGTTCTGTTCTTAAGTACAGGCCTGGTTCTTCATCATTCGACCTAAAATGTTGATTAGCTTATAGCCTGGCTAGATGTTGCTTTGTGCTTTCAATGTCGCTGTTAATTCGACCCAGCTGTCTTAAAAGATGCTCAAAAACTGTTCCCATGTGCATGTACTAAGGATAATACAGTACAGTTCCTCTGCTGATGATGAAGAGTTGATGCGTACATTTATGTATGGAGCATGTTTAAAGGCGTTATTGAAATCAAAGAAGGAAACAAATGTACAGTACGGAATATATCTAAATATTTTCGTTGCAGAAGCTAACTTTAAAAATTTTAAAATTTTCTTAAAAATGCTTAAATGATGCAAAAATCAAATGGATATTAAGTGTTATGTGACAAGGAACAAGAAGAACCAAGAGTTACGGTAGTATTTTGTTGGGGAATGCTGATTCTGTAGCAAAAGCCTATAGAAAAAAATCCATAGCATTCGGTCAATCTTAGGATTGTGACTTCGTTGACTCTACTACTGTACACACCAATCTACAGTAATATTGTCTTCATTCCTTGCTCGAGACGACTGCATCATCGCAAACCTGGATTTCGACTCAGCACCATTCAGTTGTCGTCTTGGTTGTGATACATTAAGTATTTATAACAGTAACAATAACTCACACCTGTGGCTAAAATCAATTTGTTGATAATACCTTTATGACGTATGTATTTTTTATCTTGAAAAAAAATCTACATATGTTGTTTTCAAATTACCTTGGATAAGGTTATTTGAGACAAGAGAGATGGGTTGATTAATTTTTTCTTGAACAGAACACACAAAGTTGTTTATCTTGTGCGTTGCCTGAAGAGAAAATTTGGTTTGGAAATTTTTTTGGCACTGAATACTTTAAAAAGCAGAACGAAACAACAAATGGTTTGTTAAGAGGTTTATACTGCTGTAGCACTAATTTGTGATATTGTTTTTTAATGAATTGGAAAATGTTGCAATTGGGATTTATGTTGTTAGTATTTCATATTTGAAGATCTCTCTGATTATACTTTAAGATTGGGGAAGAAAATCTGAGCTCAATTAAGCGGAAAACATCAGGTTGCACTTCAGGCGAACTGTATGATTATACTTCGTGCGCAAAATTTTACTTTTCATACTCCTTACAAGGTTGCATTGTGAATGTTAATATAAATTACATCATAGAGTGTAACCTTCATTTGCACAATGAGCAATTAACGTATAAACAAAGCTAAATGCAGAGGCGTCATCTTATGTGCAAATTCTGTGTGCAGATGTGTTGGCGAATTGTTTCAACGCTCTCACGTGGGTACTAGTTGACGTGGGTTGCCATAGAAACGAGGAAGTGAGAGTAATTGCCCCATCAGTTGTAGCTGACATTAATTCAAGCTGAAGTTGAGCCTTTGTTCTTGTTCAGTGGATTGAGTGCAAAGATAAGAGAGGCTGATATCAATAATCCAAGGTATTTGATAGCTGGAGGAGAGTAGGTTGGCCTTGGAATACTGTATACCCATTGAAAAATTGTGAACATTTGCCCATAAACTACATACATACAGTAGCTGCATTAGTGAATAGATGTTTTTAATTATGTGGCCACCATATCTCTATTGATATTGTTTGTATGTAGATAAACAACTGCAAAAACTTGATCAATTTTTAAGATACGGAATATCTTTGGTGCTTTTTAAGATTACTGCAGTTTTTGCATCTGGGATTTCATTGAAGACAATATACCTTATTGAGCATACAGTGCTTATGGACATCAGTTGTGAAACCTGCTGCCAGTGATTTCTAGGTTTGTAAACTGTAGGCTTAGCTAGTGACTGTACTCTACCTTTTAACTTGACTTTCGATCAATTGTATTTTAAAGGAGTATTGTAGAAAATATAGAAAAACCTGAAAGGGAATTGATTCAAGCATAATTTATAAAAACAAACCTGTTTTGATTATATATTTGATCTGTTTAAAACATTGTGTAAATATCATAGAATAACAATGAAGAAACTAATATACGGCAGATTGCAGTCAGAACTATTGATTTAAAGCGTGCGTACAGTTTGGTGCTAACAACAAGAATTGGCGTCTGATCACCAGGTTCGTGAATTGATATTGAAGCTACTATTGAAGCAGTTACAAAGTACTCTCCTCCTTCATGACGTCTCGCCTTTGCGCGGAAACTTGCACTCATGTGTTGATGAATCCATAGTAATGTCTTGATGAATCCATAGTAATATGTTGCAACAGTCATTCTTCCATCAAGTCATTCTCAAGCTGTTTTTTATCCAATTGTCTTTTGATGTGTGTGACCGCATTATACGAGTGATTAATATACCTTATATTGCTTCCTTGATGGAGAATTCTTTTTGTTCGTTTCGAATGAGTAATTTAGCATGTTAGATGTCTGAGAAACTATCAGTAACAGTTCAACACTAGTAGGCTATGCTCTAATCCAGGTGCTTAATAAAAGCGTGGACATTATACACTCTATTACGCAAGTAATAAGGGAAGGAAAGTGCAGACGAGATTCTACTTTTTTTGTGTCTTTCACGTCATTGACGGTTTTTATTATGAAAAATTGATAATGTAAACGTGTTGAAGTTCATAACGCTCTGATTCTTCAAACCGACCGGCTGTCTTTCTCTATAAAGGGATATTTCTTCGTTGAATTAAGCTTGCACGCACATACTTGATTATTTTGCATGGATATTTAATGGAAGATTTTTCAATACTCATGGATAGCGTGTGAAGAAAAACATAATTTACTGAGTCTGATTAAACTAAAATTGGATTCTTCTTGCTATTATACAGTACAATTTTTCCATATTAATGTGTCGTGTCTACTACGTTTAATGCTGAGGAGGTCTTTAAAGGAAATGGAAAAAGGATTTATAAAGTGTTTATCAAAGAGATATCTTATACAGCTCATTGTATAGTACAGTGTTTGTTACAGTTTCTTGGATATATACAGTGTTTTCTTTTGTAATACTATTCCCATGCAGCTTTTAAAAACATTGAGGATGACTTTATATTCCAAAGATATTGGCTTGAATTTTCAGCAGCAGTTTCATCGAGGGAATGTTAAGGGCCGGCCTCCATTACCATCTTCGCAGAGGGAAGCTATGTGTTGCTTAGCAACTGTACTATCTGTGTACGTACAATTTTTAACTCATTTCGAAAATGAATTGTAATTTTTCAACATAAATTTTTAACGATGTAATATCAGTATTTGAGAACATCGATACTGTGGCTAGCAGTAAATAAGTAAAAATACTTAATCTGAATTCATCTGTGAAATTTAATAATAATTATGATAGTAATGGAAATAATCATGATATAGTATATAATATTAGTGATACTAGTAATGATAATGAATGGGCTTTCTTATATTGAAATTTTTATTTTTTTATTTGTAAAATATTTCATGGTGGGAGGTTCCCTCTCTTTTCCCTCTCCAGTACTTCTGCTTTCCTCCTCATTTTATTTTCCTCCATTATCATTTCCTCCATTCTACTTTTCCTTTTCTTCCCATTCCCTCTCTTTCCCTACTTTTTTTTCCTTTTCCCCCCATACATTTGTTTTATTAAGGCTGATTGTGATAGAACTTTACATTTTCAAATTAGGCTGTTTTAGATGCCATATTCTACAAGTCTGTATTTAAAATATAATCAATAATTTATTATTGATACAGTATTAAATAATTCTTTACTAACAAGCTCTTTAATTTATATACTATCTCATCCTTCGACCATAAATAATGCAGTCATATTCACAATGGTTCTGCCATTAATTTTTTTTCATTAAAAAATCTTATAAGAGAATTTTATGAATATTCATTAGATAGAACTTGATATGGAAAATTACAGGCGATCTATATAGAACATCAATTATAATAAAGTCGTCCTTATTTTGATATATGATATAATTTACTTCTGCATTGATTACTTCAGGCAAGAAATTTAATTTGTGTAGTGTACACATTTTTTTTTTTATAAGAACACATTTTAAAAGAACATTGAGTCTGAAATTGTCAAAAAAATTAAGAACAAATTGAGGCTGAGGTAAAATGCCAAATTGAGATTTTTATAAACAAAAAAAAACAAAAAAAATAGAAAAACCAACATACCTTCTGTACCTTATTTTCAGTAGGTGTGACTATGCAATACCCTCTGTTATACAGTACAGTAATATAGGCTCTACACTGCTGTACAATAATAATTTTCCACGATGGTAAAGTGTGTATAAAACTGAGAACAAAATAAGAACACTTTGAGCCAGAAATGTGCAAAAAAAAAATAAGAACACTGAGCCTGGGAAAGTTTTATAATTTTGATATATGTTGTGGAAGACAGATTTACAAGTTATCTTTTAGGTAGCTACTGTGAAGTCAGGTTTTGGTCAAATTTTTTTATCAAGGTTGTTAGGATTTTGTAGTTCATTACCAGATGATTTATTGTTGGTTGCAAAACAGCTGTATAGTACATCTCACATATTTTTGTGGTCAACCACACTTTAGCACAATTTTAAAGTTCAACATACAACTATCCTGTAGCCTAACACCCTAAATTCCACAACACTTGTTATACACTCCTTGTACCCAGGTGACCTACATGGTGTTCTAATCTATACATGATTTATTCTCAGGATGTCAGAAGTTATATATTTTAATTGCTAGTTTTAAATTTAATAAGTTATACTTCTGGAAATCATTGTGATAGTTTTTTTATTCATTTATTTTTTATTTTTGTATATTAAGTTAAGGACTCTGAATATGTAATAAATACATAAGTGATTCAAATAATAATAGGCATAAAATACTTTTAAAAATGTTGAAAAATATTAGATTAATACATATTTTATGATTTAAGGAAGTGTGGTCTTTAACCAGCTTTCATATTTTACAACCGGGGTGGATCCAGTAGAAGCCCCCCTCCCCCTTCCGGGTTTTGCCACTAAGTTTTAAAATTTTCAGTGCAAATCAATGTTGCATGTGCTACTCACCTACAGTATTCTGAGACTGTTGTAGCTCCCCCCTCCCCTCCGCCCCTGGCAACTTTAAAAGTGGAAGATTTTTCCTTGCTCCCAGAAATGCGTTAAGCTTTGTCTACACTATCAAATTTTATCGAAAAAAGCGTCATGGAACATAGAGTTGAACACCAACTTTTTTTGATACAATGTGTTAATTTGTGATATGACGTCATCATACCCATATATGGGCACATTACATTCTTTTGTCATGTCAAATTTGATAGTGTAGACAAAGCTTTAGAGACATGCCAATTGCCGAGAGACTTGGCACCCCCTGAATTCGAAAGCCCACTGTGCAGGCGAAAATAGTACATCTGTCAATATTTTTCAGGATTTAATGCCATGTGGAGTTTAGGCTCTCCCTCTCCCATATGCTTAGAACTCTGTCAAATCAAATGTGACCATTCATATTATACCACTCAGAGTTCATCGACATCGATTAAGATGGAGTAGAGGTAGCTTTGCCTTTAATATCTGTTATTAACTAACTAAATGTCTAAATGCAAATTCCAATATGGATGATTATTACTTCCTAAAGCGTGCTTTAGAGGCCGAGTATACCAATATCAAATATTTACCGTGTGTTACTCTGTTTGTTCCGACAACTGTACCAAGGAAATTACAGCAAGATATCTATGACAGATTTCATGGATTGTGTTTGTATAATTAGTGAAGAGATCAATAATGAGCATACTCAATTATCACACAGTGCCTTGTATTGTTTTCAAGTAAAGTTACAATAAGATAGTGTTTTTGGTTTTTTTTTGGAAAGAATCAATACAACCATGGAAAACTGTTCCATTATGTAGGTGTAAATGTCGTTTAATGTTACATTGCTTTGTTTGGTTTAATTGAAACAAAATGAGGACACTTTAGTTAGGTTCGGACGACCTTCCATCTGAAGTAAAGTCACGACAAATGTAAAATTTTACGCACACGTTTCCACACGATGTTTACCCGGGACAACTAGTTAAAAGCTCATATCACAAAAACAGTTTATATAATGTTCACTTTTAGTTAGCCTGTAATTTTAAAGTTAAAAGTTCGGTAGAGTTTTAAGGTCATTGTACAGTAGGGAAGGTAGATATCAGAAATCGGCAATGGGTGCCACATGACCTAACTTCGGTGTTGGATATAAACATTGGCTGACTGGCACAGCGGTGTTTTACTTGGAGATTGCTATGGCGGTCGTCACTTGTTATTGCTGTAAAGATCATCATAATTTCTACTAAACTACAGTATACCAAATTCATTGGAAATTAAACTTCAAAACTTAATTATTTGCTAATGATGTAAAGAATACTGGTCGCAAACATTAAGATTTTCCGATAAATGTTAGGCATAGGCCCCTGCGTATCTACAGCATGGTTAGGTATGCATGATGGTCTTCGACCCACAATCTACGCTGCTATAGTGCCAGCCAAGGTTTATGAAGGATCACTTAAATTTCAAAGCATACAATCCAAGGAGAACGCTAGGATAAGTAAATAAATAAATACTATTTTGAACAATCGTAGTAATTCCTTTCCTAGCCATTTACTTCTCACGTTAACAGTGGGTGGTTGTTTTCGCAACCATAACATTATCCTTTCCTATGCTATCGCAATGTTCAATCACAGTATTTGCTATGCCCTCCCACTCATTTTATTCCCACCCCTGCACTGTATGCTCAATGCTTAGTTGTGTTGGACAGTGTATACAATCAACAACTTAGCTATTTCATTGTAAATTAATTGAATGAAAATGTCAAAATTAATCAGAATAAAAGGTATAGATCTACAACTATTGATGCATTATATATAAGGTAGTCATAATCCATCGAAACAAACAAGTCTGATGCTAAGCTATGCTATCGCTGTAGAATTGATGTGTAAATTTCTCCTTAGTGGTTTTACATTAATGAGAGGCTGATGGTGTAATGTATCACCGCATTATCACTTTTATCGGCATTCAATACCCGAGGAGACTATCAGTACAGTATACTTTTTTAACACTATTGAATTTCATTGGACTCAACCTTGTAAATAACGTCCTCTTCATCGGCAATTTATACCATATCAAAAACATGTACACATCATTGATGCATGTTAAACATTGTGGTGCTTTATCATAAGAAAAGGCAAAAAAACAAACGCAAATATACATTTGAAAGGGGTGTTGAAATTGGAGGACGTTTGAAAGGATCACTTACTGTAGTTTATATCAGTATGGTTAAGTAAAGGCATTCTTTGGTTGTATCATGTTGAAATATTCATTCGTCTCTTGATGAAACCATGGTGAGCATACTATAGTAGTTTTGTTCACCAGTGCATTAAATTTAATCCATTAAGTTTAAGCTCATTTAAAATTGTATTTTTTTTTTTATATAGAATTTTCCCCCAACATTTAGTAACAACCACTCAATAGCTCACTAGAAGTGAAGTGGGCATAATTAATTTATGATCTGATTACGGTAGAAAGGGAAACTAAATTAAACACAAAAACACAACACCCTAAAATTCTTTAGGCAAAACTTTTTTTATACCTTATTTAGTGAACCCACCACCTATAATGGTGATTTTTAATAAAAAATATAATTTTATTTTGGCCAATTAGCGCACCAACCACCATGAAAAATTTTTTAGAAAAAATAAAATTTTTATTTTTATTATGCCCGCCTTTGCCTTGAAATCTTTAAAAACAAGATATGTATATTTCTGGCTAATTATATAAATTTGAAGCATAAAACTGCAGAAGGAGGTGTAATGAAACTAGCCAGAGAGAATGCTTGTCCTGCAAACAAAGTACTTGGAAAATTCTGCAGAATTGCAGACTTTTATTTATTTAGTCTTATAAAATTAACTTGATTTAAATGCTAGGTTTAAAAAATCAGTGAATAAATATCCTTGTAATATGCATTAATTAAAAGCTTATTCTTGAAATTGAATTAATTAAACTAATAAGAATTGTTATCAGTAAGCATGTCCATTCTTTTGTAGTATGGAAATCATCGATTCATAAAGTCATTTTGGTAGGCGTTGACGCCGCAAGTTTGTTTTGATCTCCATGGCAACATGTATCAAATCGGCCTTTAGTTGCTTATCTTAATTACCATTGAGTGAAATTGAAAACTTGTTTAGGTCA